GGGACCCCGTCCGCTAAGGTCTCGGAGCCGTCGGCGCCCGGCTCGCACAGGTGCCGCATGAAGAGCGACACGTAGGCCCTGCGGGGCCGGCGTCACCCGGCGTCACCCGGTGTCACCCGGCGTCACCCGGTGTCACCCATCACCTGTGTCACTCGTGTCACCCCACGTCACCCGCAGCATGCACATCACCCATCGCCTGTGTCAACCTGTGTCACCCGCGTCACCCATCACCTGTGTCACTCGTGTCACCCCACGTCACCCGCAGCATGCACGTCACCCATCGCCTGTGTCAACCTTTGTCACCCTTGTTACCCATCACTTGTGTCATCTCGTGTCACCCTGCGTCACCCGCAGGACCCATGTCACCCATCACCTGTGTCACCCCATATCACCTGCGTCACCCGCAGCACCCATATCACCTGTGTCACTCGTCACCCGCAGCATGCACGTGTCGCACCGTGCATGCAACATCGCGCAACATGGCCTGCGTCGACCTGTGTCACCCGCTGCACCCGTGTTACCCACCACTTGTGTCATCTCGTGTCACCCTGTGTCACCTGCAGGACCCATGTCACCCATCACCTGTGTCACCCTATGTCACCTGCATCACCCACAGCACCCTCATCACCTGCGTCACTCGTGTCACCTGCAGCACCCATGTCACCCATCACCTGTCACCCCATGTCATTCCATGTCACCCACAGCACCATCACCCGTGTCACCCGCAGCACCCGTGTCACCCATCACCTGTGTCACCCTATGTCACCTGCATCACCCACAGCACCCTCATCACCTGCGTCACTCGTGTCACCTGCAGCACCCATGTCCCCCCACAACACCTGTGTCACCCCCATCACCCATGTCACCACCTCAGCCTGCATCTCCCAGCACCGCCGCCTGTCACCCCAATGCACCACCAAGCACCAACGTGTCTCCAACAGCCGCACCAAGGTACCACCACACCACGAGATCACCACGCCAAGGTACCGCCACACCAAGGTACCATTGCACCAGGGTCCCCATATCCCGGTGTCCCCAATGTCCCCAATGTCCCTGATGTCCCCAATGTCTGCAACATCCCCAATGTCCCCAGTATTTGTGGTGTTCCCAGTGTCCCCTGTGTTCCCAATGTCCCCAATGTCCCCAGTGTCCCCAATGTCCCCAGTATCCCTGGTGTCCCCAGTGTCCCCGGTGTCCCCAGTGTCCCCAATGTCTGCAATGTCCCCAATGTCCCCAGTGTCCCCGATACCCCCAGTATCCCTGGTGTCCCCAGTGTCCCCAATGTTCCCAGTATGCCTGGTGTCCCCAGTGTCCCCGGTGTCCCCAGTGTCCCCAATGTCTGCAATGTCCCCAATGTCCCCAGTGTCCCCGATACCCCCAGTATCCCTGGTGTCCCCAGTGTCCCCAATGTTCCCAGTATGCCTGGTGTCCCCAGTGTCCCCGGTGTCCCCAGTGTCCCCAATGTCTGCAATGTCCCCAATGTCCCCAGTGTCCCCGATACCCCCAGTATCCCTGGTGTCCCCAGTGTCCCCAATGTTCCCAGTATGCCTGGTGTCCCCAGTGTCCCCGGTGTCCCCAGTGTCCCCAATGTCTGCAATGTCCCCAATGTCCCCAGTGTCCCCGATACCCCCAGTATCCCTGGTGTCCCCAGTGTCCCCAATGTTCCCAGTATGCCTGGTGTCCCCAGTGTCCCCGGTGTCCCCAGTGTCCCCAATGTCTGCAATGTCCCCAATGTCCCCAGTGTCCCCGATACCCCCAGTATCCCTGGTGTCCCCAGTGTCCCCAATGTTCCCAGTATGCCTGGTGTCCCCAGTGTCCCCGGTGTCCCCAGTGTCCCCAATGTCTGCAATGTCCCCAATGTCCCCAGTGTCCCCGATACCCCCAGTATCCCTGGTGTCCCCAGTGTCCCCAATGTTCCCAGTATGCCTGGTGTCCCCAGTGTCCCCGGTGTCCCCAGTGTCCCCAATGTCTGCAATGTCCCCAATGTCCCCAGTGTCCCCGATACCCCCAGTATCCCTGGTGTCCCCAGTGTCCCCAATGTTCCCAGTATGCCTGGTGTCCCCAGTGTCCCCGGTGTCCCCAGTGTCCCCAATGTCTGCAATGTCCCCAATGTCCCCAGTGTCCCCGATACCCCCAGTATCCCTGGTGTCCCCAGTGTCCCCAATGTTCCCAGTATGCCTGGTGTCCCCAGTGTCCCCGGTGTCCCCAGTGTCCCCAATGTCTGCAATGTCCCCAATGTCCCCAGTGTCCCCGATACCCCCAGTATCCCTGGTGTCCCCAGTGTCCCCAATGTTCCCAGTATGCCTGGTGTCCCCAGTGTCCCCGGTGTCCCCAGTGTCCCCAATGTCTGCAATGTCCCCAATGTCCCCAGCACATGCCACTTGCCCAGGCCATCGTGGGGCCCCTGTGGTGGCACCGCCCCAGCCCCGTCCTTGTCCTCTTCTCAATCCTCATCCCATCTTCATCCTCATCCTCAACCTCAACCTCAACCTTGTCTTCAATGTCTTCCTCATCGTCGTCATCCTCATCATCATCGTCATCATCGTCATCATCCTCAAACTTCACCTTGTCTTCAATCTCTTCCTCATCATCCTCATTGTCATCATCATCCTCATCATCATGATCCTCATCATCATCATGCTCCTCATCGTCATCATCCTCATTGCCATCCTCATCCTCATCATCATGATCCTCATCGTCATCATCCTCATTCCCATCCTCATCCCCAACCTCAACCTTGTCTTCAATCTCTTCCTCCTAATCATCATCCTCATTGCCATCATCGTCCTCATCGTCATCATCACTCTCATCCTCGTCATCGTCATCCTCATCTCAGCCCCCTCCTCATCCTCACCCTCATCCTTGTCTTCAATCTCATCCTCGCCATCTTCATCATCCTCATCCCCATCTTCCTCCTCATCCCCATCCTCAACCTTGCTCTCAATCTCTTCCTCATCCTCCTCGTCATCATCATCCTCATCGTCATCATCATTGTCATCGTCATTGTCATTGTCATCGCCATCATGCTCATTCCATCTTCATCCTCAGCCTCCTCCTCCTCGCACCATCCTCGCTGTCCCCCTATTGTCCCCGCGCTGGCCCTGTGCTGTCCCCGGTCCCTCCACGCTGCCCCCCTGCTGTCCCTGTGCTCCCTCTGCATTGTCCCCCCATTGTCCCCATGCTGTCCCCATTGTCCCCGCCCTGTCCCCGCATTGTCCCCACGCTGTCCCCATTGTCCCTGCACTGTCCCTACATGTCCCCACGCTGTGCCCATGCTGTCCCCATCATCCCCGTGCTGTCCCCATCATCCCCGCATGGTCCTTGTCCTGTCCCCAAGTTGTCCCCACGCTGTCCCTGTGCTGTCCCCATTGTCCCCATCATTCCCACATTGTCCCCACATTGTCCCCGTGCTGTCCCCATCATCCCCGCATTGTCCACGCCCTGTCCCCAAGGTGTCCCCCCATTGTCCCCACGCTGTCCCCATCATCCCCGCATTGTCCTTGCCCTGTTCCCAACTTGTCCCCAAGCTGTCCCCGTGCTGTCCCCATCGTCCCCGCATTGTCCCCACACTGTCCCTGTGCTGTCCCCATCATCCCTGCATTGTCCTCGCCCTGTCCCCTAGTTGTGTCCCCATTGTCCCCACGCTGTCCCTATTGTCCCCGCATTGTCCTCGCCCTGTCCCCAAGTTGCCCCCCATTGTCCCCATCATTCCCGCATTGTCCCCACATTGTCCCCGTGCTGTCCCCATCATCCCTGCATGGTCCTCGCCGTGTCCCCAAGCTGTCCCCCCATTGTCCCCACGCTATCCCCATTGTCCCCATCATTCCTGCATTGTCCCCACACTGTCCTGGCGCTGTCCCCATCTCCCCGCATTGTCCCCACACTGTCCCTGTGCTGTCCCCATCATCCCTGCATTGTCCTCGCCCTGTCCCCTAGTTGTGTCCCCATTGTCCCCACGCTGTCCCTATTGTCCCCGCATTGTCCTCGCCCTGTCCCCAAGTTGCCCCCCATTGTCCCCATCATTCCCGCATTGTCCCCACATTGTCCCAGCGCTGTCCCCATCAACCCTGCATTGTCCTCGCCCTGTCCCCAAGTTGCCCCCCATTGTCCCCACGCTATCCCCATTGTCCCCATCATTCCCGCATTGTCCCCACACTGTCCCCGTGCTGTCCCCATCATCCCCGCATGGTCCTCGCCGTGTCCCCAAGCTGTCCCCGCATTGTCCCCATTGTCCCCGCGCCGTCACCCACTTGAACTCCTTCTCGCTCTTGCCCCGCAGGTCCCGCACCAGCCACTGGGAGCTGAAGGCGTCTTGGGGCGGCATCCCCCAGCGCATGACGGCGTTGAGGAAGGCCTTGCGCTGCCGCGTGTTGAACCCCAAAACCTGGAGAAATGGGAAAAAACGGGCAGGAACGGGAGGAAACGGGGCGTCAGCCCTGCGCTGCCGCGTGTTGAACCCCAAAACCTGGAGAAATGGGAAAAAAACGGGCAAAAATGGGCAGAAACGGGGCGTCAGCCCTGCGCTGCCGCGTGTTGAACCCCAAAACCTGGAGAAATGGGAAAAAAACGGGCAAAAATGGGCAGAAACGGGGCGTCAGCCCTGCGCTGCCGCGTGTTGAACCCCAAAACCTGGAGAAATGGGAAAAAAACGGGCAAAAATGGGCAGAAACGGGGCGTCAGCCCTGCGCTGCCGCGTGTTGAACCCCAAAACCTGGAGAAATGGGAAAAAAACGGGCAAAAATGGGCAGAAACGGGGCGTCAGCCCTGCGCTGCCGCGTGTTGAACCCCAAAACCTGGAGAAATGGGAAAAAAACGGGCAAAAATGGGCAGAAACGGGGCGTCAGCCCTGCGCTGCCGCGTGTTGAACCCCAAAACCTGGAGAAATGGGAAAAAAACGGGCAAAAATGGGCACCAAGGGGACATGGAGGGGGCACAGGGGACATGGAGGGTTGCAGAGGGGACACAGAGGGGACACAGAGGGGACACAGGGGACATGAAGGGTTGCAGAGGGGACACAGAGGGGACACAGGGGAGACGAAGGGGACACGGAGGGGACACAGGGGACATGGAGGGTTGCAGAGGGGACGCAGAGGGGACACAGGGGACATGAAGGGGACACGGAGGGGACACAGGGGACATGGAGGGTTGCAGAGGGGACACGGAGGGGACACTCACCCTCGGGCCGCTCGTCGAAGTCCTCGTCCTCCTCCTCGGAGCCCACCGAGTACTCGGACTGGTTGTCTGCAGGGGACAGTGACACCCATGGGCACGGGGACCCCAGGGACCCCGTCACCCGGACACCCTCCTTGTCACCCCAGCACTCCCTGGTCACTCCCGGTGGCCTGTGTCACCACAAGAACTCCCCCAGTCACTTCAAATACTCCCTTGTCACCCCCTGTGCCCCCTTGGTCACCCCAATGTCCCTTTAGCCATCCCAATGTCCCTTTTGTCACCTCCAAGAGCTCCCTTGTCACCTGTGGTGCTTGTCACCCGAAACAGTGTCACCCTCAAAGGTCTCTCGTTGCCCCAAATACAACCACCCCAAAAAGTCTCCCTTGCCACCTCCGTGTCCCCCTCAACACTGTCCCCGTCACACACAACACCACACCCCCAAATACACCCCATGACCCCCAATACTCCCTTGTCACCGTGAATACCCCCTTGGTCCTCCTGGACGTCATGGTTGTAGTTGACTTGTTCTCGATACCTGTTTGTCTGGTCCTCCCAGGTTCTCCCAAGCCCTCCCAGAGCCTCCTAGTGCATCCTAGACCCCTTCCCCATGTCCCCCATCTGTCCCGGTGTCCCCAGCACCCACCTTGGTCCTACTGGACATCTTGGTTGTAGTTGACCTGTTCTGAACATCTGCTTGTCTGGTCCTCCCAGGTTCTCCCAAGCCCTCCCAGAGCCTCCTAGTGCATCCTAGACCCCTTCCCCATGTCCCCCATCTGTCCCGGTGTCCCCAGCACCCACCTTGGTCCTACTGGAGGTCTTGGTTGTAGCTGACCTGTTCTCAACACCCTCTTGTCTGGTCCTCCCAGGTTCTCTTAGTGTCCCCTAGACCCCTTTCTCGTGTGCCCTGTGTGCCCCGGTGTCCCCACGCCTACCTTGGTCCTCCTGGGCGGCGTCGTTGTAGTTGACCTGTTCTCAACACCTGCTTGTCTGGTCCTCCCAGGTCCTCCTAGTGTCCCCCAGACTCCCTTCCCGTGTCCCCCATGTGCCCCGGTGTCCCCGCGTCCATCTTGGTCCTCCTGTGCGGCGTCGTTGTAATTGACCTGTTCTCAACACCTGCTTGTCTGGTCCTCCCAGGTCCTCCTAGTGTCCCCCAGACTCCCTTCCCGTGTCCCCCATGTGCCCCGGTGTCCCCGCGTCCATCTTGGTCCTCCTGTGCGGCGTCGTTGTAATTGACCTGTTCTCAACACCTGCTTGTCTGGTCCTCCCAGGTCCTCCTAGTGTCCCCTAGACCCCTTCCCCATGTCCCCGATGTCCCCAGCACCTACCTTGGTCCTCCTGGATGTCTTCGTTGTAGCTGACCTGTTCTGAACATCTGCTTGTCTGGTCCTCCCAGGTTCTCCCAAGCCCTCCCAGGTCCTCCTGGTGTCCCCTAAACCCCCTCCCCCATGTCCCCAATATGTCCCGGTGTCCCCGCGCCCACCTTGGTCCTCCTGGGCGCTGTCGTTGTAGTTGACCTGTTCTGAACATCTGCTTGTCTGGTCCTCCCAGGTTCTCCCAAGCCCTCCCAGGTCCTCCTGGTGTCCCCTAGACCCCCTCCCCCATGTCCCCAATATGTCCCGGTGTCCCCGCGCCCACCTTGGTCCTCCTGGGCGCTGTCGTTGTAGTTGACCTGTTCTGAACACCTGCTTGTCTGGTCCTCCCAGTGTCCCCTAGACCCCTTCCCCGTGTCCCCCGTGTCCCCCGGTGTCCCCGCGCCCACCTTGGTCCTCCTGGGCGGCGTCGTTGTAGTTGACCTGCTTGCGCACCCGCTTGCCCTTGCCCAGGTTGCGCGCCAGGTCCTCCTGCTGCTGCTCATAGTGGTGCCGGAGCAGCTTCTCCCAGTAGTCGGGGTCCACGTTCTCCTCCTGCTTGATGATCTCCCGCTCGATCTCCTCGATCTGTGGGCACCCATGGGTGATGTGACCCTCACGGCGGCCCCTCCAGGTCACCGGGCCACCTGGGGGGGTGGCCGTGGGCACAGGGTGGCTTCCGCTGCACTCCTGTGGTCTCCTGCTGTTGGCCCCAGTTCTGTCACCCCCATTGGCCCCTTCCCCATCATCCTGTCACCCGCAGCTCTGTCACCTCCAGCTCTGTCACCTTCAGCTCCATCATCCCCAGCTCCGTCACCTCCTTGTCCCCAGCTCCACTGTCCCCACTTCTATCACCTCCTTGTCCCCATCTCTGTGGTATCCTTTTCTCCAGCTCTGCCACCTCCAAATCTGTCACCTCCCTGTCCTCAGCTCCATCATCTCGTTGTCCCCATCTCCGTCACCTCCTTCTCCCCAGCTCCGTCACCTCCTCGTCCCCATCTCTGTCACTTCCTCGTCCCCAGCTCTGTCACCTCCAGCTCCACCATCCCCATCTCTGTCACCTCCTTGTCCCCAACTCCATCACTTCCAGGTCCGCCACCTCCAGCTCCACCACCTCCAGCTCCATTGTCCCCACCTCTGTCACCTCCTCATCCCCAGCTCCATCACCTCCAGCTCCATCACCTCCAGCTTCACCGTCCCCATCTCCATCATCTCCTTGTCCCCAGCTCCGTCACCCCCAGCTCCAACACCTCCTTGTCCCCAGCTCTGTCCCC